TGGGGCTCCAAGGTGAACCTGATCTGGTTGAAAATTAACCCCAGTTTTGCAGGGTGAGTTTGCAGCCAGGGCAGATCACCAGGCCAGCTCCCAGGGTGGTGGCACAGAGACTGCACCTCAAACTGGCTGGGATGGAACACTCAGAAGAGAAGTCTCTGAAAATATTAGAGGAAAACAGAGAGGACACAGCACTTGAGGTGTCCTTTCCTCATGGGCAGGAGCAGTGAAGGGGGGGTGGAGTCCCAGGTCCCTTAAAGCACCAAGGATCATTGTGACCTTTTCTCTCTTTCTTCTTCTACTCTTTGTAGACTTTTTAGACTGTAAATTCCTAATGTGTTTGCAGCATTGCCTGGGGTAATGGAGCCCCAAGCTCAGAGCCTTTGGCAGTGGTGGAGCACTGTGGAAGATGCAGGGATGGGCAGCCAAAATGAAGAGGATTGCAGGAATAAAAGAGCCTTCAGTCAGGAGAGGGGCAGCGGAGCGGGAGCACGATCAAAGTTTACAAACCATCAAGGCCTCAGATCCAGTAAATGCAGAACTGCTGCTCCTGAAATCCCTCGACAGCAGAGCAGGGACCACTCACTGGAGCTGGTGGAACATCAGATAAAAGCAGAGATGAAAGCAAATTCTTCTCTGTGTAGTGGCTACACAACTTCTCAAACTCATACCACAGGAAGCTGTGGAGCCAGAGAGCTCAAAGGGGATTAGAGAAACACATGAAAAGGTCCACAAGCAAATACTGAAGAAACAGAAAGGATGAAGCCTCTCATGTTCCTGTACATCACTTAAGGATGATGCTATGGGAACGGACTGCAGAAAGTGCCCAAGCTTGCATTTTCTCCTTAAATAGCATCCTTTACTGCCATTCTTGGGGAAGGATTACTGCACCCACCAGTGGTCTGGGAAGATCTTAGGTTCCCTTAAAAGAATATTGAAATTTCTTATAAATATCAGTGTTGGTTTGGGTATTCCACAAGTTCTACTGCTGATTACGAGGTAATAATTAGATTAAACTCTGACTAAAGGAAGGAATATTTTCTCCCATTCTGTTTTCTTTTTGTACTTAGACTGAGCATCAAATACTCAGTACTAAGCCAGTAAACCACACTTTGAGCACCCAAAGCTTCCCTGTCTTTAGATTGTGCTGATCATTGTCCCCAGTTTATCAGATTAAACAAGATTACAGGGTTGCACTGTAGACACAGAAACAACAATTTGCTCACTATATATTGTTCTGTTAATCATCCACTCTAGGAAATTACACTTTTCCATTTATGTTTCTCTCATATTTAATTCAGATCTTTCCTCTGGTTAGATTTCTTTCAGTTGGTATGCAGCTAGTTAAAATATCATGGTAAAATATATAGTTCACATCACATATTCATTTACAAACAATGCATAAAGAAGAATAAAACAAAATATTCAAATAATTACTGTGAGGCTTTTTGTTGAGCTGGATTATGTGTGTGAATTAATCTTCTACTATTCTCTTACCATCTGTATTTAAAATAGATGTGGCATAATCTTCCACACTAGAGAGATAATCAGTATAGTTAGTCTGACACACCTTCCATTCAATGGCCATTTGTGCCTCTGATTTTATAAGTTCTTTACACTTTTTGGGGAGATTTAACTCATCACATCTTAGTAGCTAGTTGCAGGGTCAAGCAACATGGTAAGGATTGAATAGATAAAAATGCAGTATTTAATAGCCTACCTCAGTCAAAGAATTAATTAGTTTCAGTATATTATTCAGTATATTATTCCTAATGACACTGGTGCTCCATTAGTAATTCTACAAGTTGATTTTTGTTTGTAAGAATACATGATCATGTATATATATATTGTATACACCTTTGTATATAATGTCAAAATAGATGCAGTAGCAAAACCTTATGAAAAAGAAGAAACACACCATAGGAAGTTATTCATAACTTTTAAAGCTCAAGCACATGGTGATTTCTACACTTGTAGATACTTTTTGTCAAGAGAACAAATTTCAGACTCTTCTGGTTCCAAATGATTTTTTAAAGTGATGATCTGAAGTAATTTGGCAATGTTTGCATTGCACCAGGTAAATGCCCTGTTCAGTGTAATACAGGAAAAGCTTTAGATGATGTCTCTTAATTTAACAACAAAAAAAGAGTTTTATGGTTGGCTGAACTAACAGAATTTTGGCCAAAAGTCACACGGATCAGTCACCTGCGTGAGCATCAACCTCAAACACGGCTAAGCCAAAATGAGGGGAAGTGATTTTGGTTTAGAGAGTCATCTGTCACCAATTCACTGCTCAGTTCTGTTCCAACAGAGCATTTTTAACTGGATGTCAGACATTGAAACTATAAAGTCTAAATCTGTTCTAATATTCATGTCATCTGCCCTTTAAAAGTTCTTGGCTATTTGAAACCAGAAGCTGGAACAGGTCACCTTTTGGCAGGAGTAAAGAACAGAACAAACAAAGGTGTTTTCATTCAGCTCTCTCTTGGCCTTTCTTAAAAATGGAGTATTGTGGGCTGGTGTCTATTTAAACAAAAAACAGTGACTTTAATCTCTGTCCCTCACCAACCTGTCTCTGCTTTATTTTTAATGGCAATAGTGTGAAACATCTGTAATTAGAAAAGGATTATTGCATACAAATCCTATAAAGCTCTTTCAACACCCTGTCCCAGCACTGTGACCAGTTGTCCTCTATTGCCTGTTACAGAGCGACTGTAAACAGCAGAGGAATGGTTTGCAATTCCCTGTGTAAGTCAGAATAAACTCTCTTTTAATACTGACTTACTGTTACTCTCACTTGTTTTTAAGGAGGAATTATATCTTTCTTCTCACTGTTCTCTTTTTTCCTGCTGCTGGATACTTATGGCATCAGCATTAGCATTTGCTGTGTACAAAGTCCACTATTAATATCATACTCGTTAGTCAGAAGTCATTAATTATTGTTACTGTAAAATGTAAGGAGCAGAGGCTTGGAATCAGAGCAAAAAGGGTGGCTAAGTGCTCCTTGCAATGCCAGCCACAGGGATAAGTGGAAGAGAATGTTGGTTGTGTCAGCTTGGGAAGAGCTCCCCAAATTTAGTGTCACACAGAGATGTGCAACAAGGGTGTGCTCGGGGGGTCATTTGAGACTGCTCATGACTGGTCAGTAGAAAGGGAAGAAAATCTACCTCTGAAAGATGGGATTTGGACTAAACCTCTCATGTCAAGTTTCCAAAGCTGAAATAGAATCTTCCTATAAATTCAGGGATCACCCCAAGTTCATATGGAAGACTATGATACAGTTGCTTTCATGTTCAAAGCAGATCTGAATCCCACTACAGGTACCAGTCCCGGGTGCTACAGTTCACTGGATCCAGAGGTGTTCTGATCAGACAACAAAAAGTTCTGCAGGTTGGAATGCAGAATAAGAGGAATGGCTTGAGGCCACATTTGACTAGCCAGGCACGGTTTTATTTATTTTATATTTATATTACTATTTTATGTTCATTTCTTTTGGTTGAAGCTAGTGGAGCAGCACTCCATTTCTTTGATGGTGTAGAGGTAATTATGCTTCGATTCTTTCCATCTGAAAGGTTCTTCTCTGGCCAATGGAAGCTTGAATCTGCACAGCACTGTGAAAAGGAAACTAGATGGGGAGAAGGATTATGTCTTCGATAAGAGACTGAGATACAGCGTGAGACAAAACGAAAGTAACTGCCGGTTCAGGGACATTGTGGTCCGGAAAGAAGAGGGTTTCACACATATTTTGCTGTCAAGTCAGACTTCAGAGAACAATGCACTGACCCCAGAGGTAAGTGTGCAGCCCTAAAAGCCAAAGAAAGCCATCCTAAAAAGTGTGGGTTGTCTTGGAAACACTGCACTTGATTTTAGGTACTAATTGATGATCTTAGAAAAATGCAGAGTTCAGACATATCTAAGTTTGTCACACTTGGGATTCCTATTACAAAGAATGCAATGGAAATTAAATTTTAATTCACGTGTCTGAAAATGAAAATTAGAAGTAAAGAATGGCAGAATCAGTATCTCCAGCGTGGAGTTGTGTGAAGCAGCTTTTCACATGTTGAAATTACTGATATTTCCTATCCTTAGGAGAAATCTGGCCTTTTCCATTTCACTAATTGAAATAGTGCTCCAGTTGTTGCATACAGAGAATTCCAGGCCATATCCTGAGACAGTCGTTCTAAATTCTGCCTTGATCCCTAATTACTTTTTCTCTGAATTGCTGTAGGAGTCCTTATGGATGGAATCTTAACCAACTGGGGGCTCAGTCCTCAGCTGAATCGCATAAAGTCTTACAACATATAAAAGATATTAAAGAATTCCCTTCTTCCAAACACTGTGCACTTAAGGTCAGACTCAGACTTGTAGATTGTACTCTCCCAGTACACACATGGATCACTGGAAGGGCTGAGCAGCTTTTCCTTTCATTCCCTGTGATCCCAGAGTAGTGAGCCCTGGTGCCCTGGTGTGCCATCCCCATGGCAGAAGAAAAGGGGTGTCCAGAAATGCCTGTGTCAGGATGGATGTCCTGGAGAGAAGGGAACATGCCTGAGTCCTGTTCCCCGTGGGAAGAAATGAGTATAGGAGGCATCAGTTTGAGCACCACCTGAGGGAAGAGCAGTTTGTAGCTTTGAGGAATCATTTTATTCAATCAGAATCTGATGGGTCCTAAATTTGACTCACCTTCCCAAAGGCACATGTGCAAATGGACATTCATTTATTTAACTATTTAGGATCGTTCAGTAATACACTGAATGGTATTAAATAGTTAAAACTTATGGTACATACATTTATCACTCCTAGTTCTTAAACTAAGTAATATTTAGGACTATCTTGGTCATTATCACAGAACACCAAACACTTGCTTTTAATACTAATTCCTTAAAATGCATTAGATGGCATCAAATCCATCATTCCATCCCTGTCTTAATTAGCACTAATTGACACTGCAGGGCCTGAAAAAGTATGAAATCCAGGGCTGTGTTCAGGTTGAGCAGACATACCTTTACGTTGCTGGCTGTGCTGTTCCACATCAGCAGTACTCAAATGCTCTAACCAGGGGATTAATTCAGGCTCTTCAGGTCTGCCAAACCAATCCCTTTCATCCTTTGAAAGTTTTCAATATGCTGGGAGCTCACCTGTGTGGAAGAATAAATGATAAGCCTGTAATAGTCCTGTCCCTGCATCACGGCGTGGACTATTTCTGGACCCTTTATTGAAGCTCACTTGAAAACCAAGAAATGCATTTTAGGAAACTACATTACTGGCCAGGAGCTGGATGGGCAGGAATGAATCAATGAGTTCTCCACATGGAGGTTGCCTCTTTAAACCCCATCCAGGCCCAGAGCAATCCCAGGCTCTTGCCCTCGGAAGGCTCGTGGCTACAAACATGAAAAGGCTCCTTTGGCCTCAGTCCAGGCTGCTGCCCAGGATCATTCACACCACAAAATCCAGCAGCTCCAGGATTGGCAACTCCACAGCCTTGCTGGCAACTACAGCAAAAATCCAAGGGACTGAAAGCAGGAATATGTTGATGCCTTGTCCCTGCAGTTTGTCAGCCACAGCCACAGGTGGGACAAACTGACAGAGTGTTTTAGGGAGGTTTAGAACATTTTTGGGTTTGTTGCCTCTTCTCACCAGTGAATAAAAAGTGCAAACACACAATTCCTACAAAATGAAGAAAGTGTGTCTCGTTTTGGGTAAAGAAATGCAAACTTCCAGCTTTGTTAGACAGTCAGTAAATTATGTTTGCCAAATAGTAAATGAATTATTTACTCAGAGCAGCTCTACTTGATGTGGTTAAACAGTGCTCTGGTTATTCTTATCTATGTTAAGAAAAAAAGAAAAGGTGTGCACTGCAAACAATCATTTCAAAATTAAGCTGATACAAAATCCCTCTCACCCCTCACCAGCCCTTGTGCTTTATGATAATCTTCAGGTGAAGTTTAATAGTTGTGTTCAACCATTGGCCTTTGCTATTTTTGCCAATTTAATTAAAATAACAAAGAACTTATTTATATATTAAAAAAAAAAAAGAAGAAAAATGAAAGCCTAGAGAAGTCTACCTGAATCCCTTCATCCCATGGTTTTGGTAACCCCATTTGTGCAGGTGATTTTAACATGAAATGTGCCAAAGCTCCTTCCAGCAGCTTTTGCACTGATTGAAGTTGGCTCAGTGCCACTCTAGTAATTGAGTTTTTTCTACAAAAAAATGTTCAGGGCACTATAGAAATTCTTTCTTTTTTTTTTACAAGACCTTATAAACTTCCAAGGCAGTGTCATGAAACGGCACAGCTTGTTTTTATTTCAGTAGCTTAGACTTCCTACTTTTAAAATTCATTTTGAAAATCCATTTTTAAAATACATATGTGAAATGTTTCATCATTATAAATTCCATGAGGGCATTTTCTCTCCTGGGTCTTCTGCCTCTTCTGATGTTTGTTCTCCAATGCTGCTGCTGCTGCTGTTTTAACTCAGCACATCTCAAGGATCCAAATTCTGTTTCAGACTAAACGGACCCATCTGCTGGTTTTATTTAACACCATTAACAGAGCTGGGAGTTAATATTCCCCTGAATTCAAAGCAAAACATTCCCTAAACAGGCAGTGTTTCCATTGCAGACTGACAGAACCACCTCAAGTACCTTCTCAGACACAAGAAGCAGGTTTCACATTTCCAGCCATGGGAATTAAGGAGTTTGAAGTTGTACCAGGTGTATTTTGGAGCACTGCTTTGCCCTCACTTTTTCCTTATTTATAAGTTTTCCTAACTTGAAAATAATAAATAAAAGAGGCAGGTACAAATTTATTGTTATCTGTGGTTTTCTGTCTTACAAGAACAAATTGTGGGTTTGGGCCCTGTAGCTTTAGAGATTCCCAAGTCCCTGAGGTACCAAACAGAAAGGACTCAGAATCTGCCCAGAGTCAGTAACACAAAGTGTATTTATGTAAAAAGGCACAAGTGGAGGAGGGTCTAAAAACAACTGAATGGCTTTAAAACTTGGTTTTACTGTAATATTTACAGAGTATTTACCTTAAAGAATATCACAGTGAGTCCTCAGAGGCTCAGAGAAGTTAACTTTTTCAACTAATAACTCCTGTTTATGTGAACAAGAGACTTCTGTTCAAGATACTTTGTGTCATTACAGTGATAAATTCCCAGCTCTTTGATTTTCCCAATGTAAGCAACATGGAAAGCAAAGGGCACCAAATGCCTTTTTGAAATTTCCTACAACCAGTGAAAGGCATTAAAATAAGCTCTTAGAAGTTTAATGAAGTTTTTAACCATTTTATGTTTATTTTGCAATATAAGGTGTCCTGTTCAAGAACTAACCAGTTTATTTTCTTGACAGGATTAAAAATATAAGCAACTGCTGAGAAGGTGATAATTTTATTATATAGTTGGGTTTCAATAAAACAGTAAGTGAAGCACTAGGCCTGGTCTAAATTTATAATCCATTCAATTATCATAACCTAAATAACTGGCCCATACTGCTCTGTAAATACTTCCTCAGAAATTTTCATCAAATGCATTCAAATAGAAATACTGTCCCCAGAACTGAAAATTACCTAAAAGACCATAAAAAAGCTAATTAATAAAAGCATGGAACTGGAGAATACTGCTAAGGAGCTCTGGAAATAGTAGTATTAGATCTGGTCCACTAGAGAAAATAAAATTTAATTGGACAAATGCAACAGTTATACCAAAATGGAGAAAGGTTTAAGGACTATGGGAGAGAGAAAAAAATATGGAATCTGACAAAGAAATGTAACTAAAGACATGTTGTATCTCTGTATTTGAGAATGAATTCACTATTGCATTAAACAGAAATTTGTGGATTAAAAAAATTTTGTAGAGAGCAGTTCTGGACTAAAATGATATTTACTTTACAATACTGCAGTTTAATACCCAGTTCTGCAACCCTGCAGACAAATGAGCTTTTTTATTGGTATTTTATTGTTAGTAGCTTTCTTGTGATCACAGGAACATCTGTAGGGAAATACCCCCAGCAGGGAATCCCTGAGGAAAGCCGTGGGGCCACGGCTGCTGGACCCAGGCTGAGGGACAAGGTGAGCAGGGAATTTGGGCACAATCAAAGGAATCATGGCATGGACCATGAGTGAGAACTGACTGGGCTGGCATTGCTGGATTCCACTGAGCCTCCCAGCACCTGGGGATGATAAAGTTAATGATAAACTCACAGCTATTAAAAAAAAAACAAACATACTTTTTGGAGCCTGAAAATACTGATACAATAATGGGTTCCTGGTTTCTTCTGCTAGAAACTAGTGGAGCAGTGGAACTAAATTTCCCCTCCTGCTCCAAACTACTGCCCAAAGCCTTCCCATTTTCAACTATATCTGAGAAAGGGATTCCCACTAATGGACTTTAAATATCACTCACTCCATAACATTGGAAAAAGAGCATTCTTCTATCACTGTGGTTTAAGCTCTGCTCCAAAGTTTGGATGGCTTTTAGATGGCTTTAGCCACCCAAATCAGTGAGAGGTGAGAGAAAAAAGAGGCAGGTTTGTAATGGTAATTAATGATGTGTGTGGAGGGGGAGCACATATGGAAATACCACATATGCAAATACCACAAATATTGCATATTTTCTATGCAATAGCAAAGAAATTTGCTGAATGGAGTGTCATGGCATCATATTTAATGTATAGGAAAATGTTTGACTGGTATTCCCTGATATCATTTATACATCCACCCTAGGAAAGAGCAGATTTGGAGAACTTTTAAAATAAATTAAGAGGGCAATCTTGCATTCACATAGGAAAATGAAAATGCATCATCTTTTTTATTTCAACATCTACCATCTTCTAAATTGTCAGGGTTTTTTTTTCCCTTTGTTTCCCCATTCTTTGTGCAGTGTTGATGTGTTTCTCCCAGCTGAGGGCTGAGACTCTCACAATGAACAGCGCTCCTAAAATCGCTGGTGACATTTTTGTACCTGCGTAAGAATTTCAAATACACCTCCAAATTCTGCTGCTTTTAATTACTTCACTTCCACCCACTGTCACACACTCGCTATTACAGGCATTCTGAAGTGCACTTAGAGAAGTGAGGCATCTGAAAGTTCACCACCTGCTCCCTCATGGCCCAGGCCCAGTAACACTCATTTTTACACAAACCCATAGGGAAAGCAGCACAATCCACGGGATTTCTAATAAAAGCCTACCTAGAATGGCATCAACAAAACAAAGGTGTTTAGGGACATTTCTTAAACAAGGCACTTCAGAGAGCTGAAGAATCCTGAGAAACAGAAAGGAGTGAACAGAAGTAATCACAGGCTAAAAATCTTGGGTTTCTCTCACACGGAACCTATATTTAAATCTCCAACCACATTTAGCTTTCTCTTACCTAAATTTACACCAACAGCAAATCTTTCAGTGCAAAAGAGAAAAATTTGACTCAACGGGACCCATTCTGTAGGAAATATTCTGACACATGGGTGTGATTAACAGAGGAGGTGTCACACAATGAAATCTTGGCCCTGGCAGTGAGGAGCAACTCACTGAAGAGAAGAGGGGGCTGAAGTGAGTCCCAGCTCACAAACCACGCTCAGCTGGGACCAAACAAGAAGTTACCCACCAGGAGTTTATGAAATAATATGTCCTTTTAAAAACCATTAGAAAACAATTCTCAGCTCAGGTGAAAGGCCATTTTTCTACAATACCTCCATTCTATACAGATTTTGATTAGGTTTGATTTATGGTGCAATTGTTCTAAAACAGACTCAAGATGTCTTTCTTTCAAGGGACTTTTTTGCTCGAGCTTCTGTAGACTGTAACAATGTCACTGACCACAGAAAAATGATTAATATATTTGTTATGTTGATGTATATGATATCCTCTTGTCCTGCTTTGCTCTGATTGAAGTCACGTAAACCAAAGTAGTCGTAGAACTGAAAACGGGTTTCTAGATTTTGCTGACAACATGTTGAGGTACTGACAGGCTGGGATAACCATGAGGATGCAGTGATGTACACTGAATGCACCCAGTGAAAAGAAAAAAAGTGATATTTGAAGTGATTAAATTGCAATCAAATAGCATAAGCTGGCTAGAATTTCCCCTCCGACAAAGAACAGCCAAGTCCCAAAAACTCTCTGAGCACCAACAAAACGCTG